CAGAGTATAACATTTGCAATATAACAAAGCATTTAGGGTAGTTATAGGAAACCTTCATCCATTGACTATTCTTCATCAACAATTTCAAAAGAAATAGGCCATTCAGTTAAGGGGAGTTCACACTCGACCTGTTAAAGATTGAGTAAGGGTACGCGATTTGAGGGAGCCAAAAAAAGGGATTCATGAATAGTCGGCCAAAAATTACTACAATATTACTTTTGTAAAATAAAAATACTGTACCAGTTAAGTATTTAAAATTTTAATGGTATTATGTATTTGTAAGTGTTTAGATTTAACTGTATTGAAATTGTATTGTAGTGTATTGTAAAGTAATTCAATTTAATTGTATTGTATTGTATAGTTATCTATACTTTATGAGTCTGCTGCACAAAATAGTACTGGTTGGACCTCTCTTTCCCACAAAAATTTGACTAATAAAAATATAAAATAAGATTCTTATTAAGATAATTATACTTAAGATAATTATTTCTCGCTCTATATTGTGGCCAAACCACAGGAACTCACAGTCTATTAGTTTATTGGTCTATGAAGATAACTATCCTAGAAATTCTAAGCAAGCACTGGTGTTTAAATAACTCAACAACCACGTCGACATCCCATCAGATCATGCCCACATGCAACATAAATGCCATTATCTTCAGTCCAACAATCAAACAACAAGTACCGTGCACCGTAAACACACATTCTTGATCCTACACTTATGTGAAAGATAACAACACCGCACAAAATAAGAAAACTTATAATAAACTTTAATATACTAACTTATTAAAAACAAAGATAATGAAAGTAATGAAATAATAATAGTAATATAATTTAAATAATTAAATATATTTATTTAATTATTGACGCCTAAAATAGTAGTGTAGGTAATTGTAATAATTAAATTAATGTTTACTGAGAAGTCATTGTGTATAATTCTGGTGGAATAGGTTGTTTAGACTTTTCCAAAACACCAATAAGGGGAGAAGCGTTGAGTTTATCATATTTAGAAAACAAAGTAATCGCTGAACCTGTTTTTCCTGCTCTACCAGTCCTACCAACTCTGTGAACATACTCTTCAATATTTAAAGGAAAATCATAGTTAATAACCAAACTAATATCATGAATATCTATTCCTCTAGATGCCACATCTGTAGCAATAAGTATGGATACAACACCATTACGTATGTCGGCCAGTGATGCTTCTCGATCGGCTTGTTGTCTTCCACCATGTATACATCTAAAAATTAAAAGGGCTGGTTTCAAATTGAATTCATAAAAAGTAATCATGTTTGTTCAGATTGTATTACCTGCACGCAATGTTATTACTATTGAAATTTTCATACATTTTGTCAACCGACGTTTTTTTGCGCATAAATATTATGACTTTATCATTCTTGGAGAGGTCATTGCTAATGAAGTTATCCAACCAACCTTCCTTTTCATGTTCTTCAAGTATTATAATCTTTTGAGTTACAGTATCCACAGTAGATAAATCAAGAGAACCAATTGTAATATGTAATGGATTTTTTGCAAAGTAATTGGCCAAATGTTGGACAGCTGTTGGCCATGTGGCGCTTGTTAAAATTGTTTGCTTATCCGGGCGCACATGTCTTAGTGACAATTCTATTTGATTCTTAAAACCCATGTCTAACATGCGGTCCGCTTCATCAAGGACCATATAAGATACGTGTTCGAGTTTAATGGCTTGTATACCAACCAAATCATTAAGCCTACCTGGTGTGGCCACAATAATGTCTGGGTTTTCAGCTTGTATAAGTTGTTGATGAGTTAATGTTGATACACCACCACCATATACACAGACAACTTTGATATTGTTATGTAAATATTTTGTTATTTCATCATGTATTTGTAACACGAGCTCTCTTGTTGGTCCCAATATAAGCACAGATGGTCCAATACGTTTATTCCTCGGAGTAGGCTGTTGAAGCAAATGAATTAAAGCTGGCAGTATGTATGCCAATGTCTTGCCTGTACCCGTTTGTGCAATAGCTATTAAGTCATGTCCACTCATAATTATCGGCCATGCTTGACACTGTATAGGTGATGGTGAAATAAACTTCTGTTTTTTAATCACCTTCATGATATCTGGATATGAGCTAAAAGCATGCTCAAATGTTTTTATTGGCTTCGGTATCGGTCGGAAACATTCAGCACCAACCACGTACTGGACGGTAATCTCGTTTTGGGCAGTTCTGAATGATTGAACTTCCTCGTCAGACATAGCCTTTACTTGACTATGCTCCACGTAGAAATCCTTGATGATCGGCGGCAACGATTTTATTAACTCCAGCTCTCTTTCCTTGTTTTCCCGAAGGACTTCCTCCCAAACATCGTCACTGAAGTTGATCTTTTCTTCCGGAGACTCATCTCTCTTGATCGTTCGGGGTCTCCCAGCACCTCCACCACGTGCTTGTCGCCTAGGCGGTGGCGGCGGCGTGGAAATCGTATCGGACCTCAGCAATTTTCCAACGATCTTCTCTATCATGTCTTTGGCTAAACGCTGCTCGTCTTCACTGCCAATTATCTTCACGTTTTTTGTGTCCGCTGTGTCACCGTTTGTTAGTTTTACCATCGCACCACTATCGTGTTGGATGCTCTTGATCGTAGCTCCTCCACGACCGATCACCCGACCAGCCATAGCCGAATCGATAACCAACAGAGTAGACATGGCGGTTGGTAGAAGGTAAGCGGATAATGGATATCAACGGCGGGAACACAAACGCCGACCGACGAAAGGTCGTAAAATTGAAAAAGAACAGGCAGTGCTGTAAATTACGTGCATAGAAATGCGAAATGGTAAAAAGAACACTGGCCGTCTGGACAGTGGACACATGGGGATCGACCGAACACTGTCAAGTTTGAAGTTTCATGTGAGAGTAAATTTATTATTGTAATTTGCTAGAACCTACCATATTTTACACATCGCGATGGACAAAATGTCAACAATCTGTTACTTTCTTATATTATCTATGCTGATAACGCGTTGTTGATAACTGACCGTATCAGTGATAAAGTCACACGGGCCTACGAATGGATCTTCGCAGGAAAAATCACAAATTATTCCAATATGGCGTCACTCTTAGATCATATACATTGTATATGATCTAAGGCGTCACTACACTGTTATCACAAAATAATATTGAATTTTTACCGCCAACTTTTAAAATCAATAACTAGCAATAATAGGCAATATGTAGGTCGTGTAAAAGCCAAAATTTATATTAATAATAGATACACTAGTATTATTGACTAACTTCATATATTCGCGATTATGTCGATATGCAACAATTATCGTATAATATTTAGAGTCTACGAAAAGTTATGAACGGTTACAATGTACCTATCAGTCAAATTTAATAAGTACACATTTCTGATTTCTTATAAAATGTTTGATTCAAGAGCAGATATAACATTATTGTTACACTACATATTTTTTTTTATAGTATGGATACTTTGCTTTCTATTTTTATAATAGAATAAAATTTGTGCACAATAGGAAATCCCAAACATAACCAGATAAAGCTTACAATGAGTGACTTCATCAAAACTATAAATTACAGAAACATATATAGGACATAGGTACACCCAATTATTATGAGATAAAATAGAAATATAATTGTACATTATCAGTTTTACAGAAGTACATAATACCAATACCATGACTGTTTCAATTTATAATATAATACAAACTACTAAGTGAACGGTTAGTATTAATAGGTAAAAAAATATCAATACCAACAATCAACCAAGAATTAATATTAAAAAACGCAGTAGAAATAAGTAATCCAGCTCCTTCATTAGATGATGAGATAAAAAAAAATGGAAATTATGTTTGGAATGTACAATTGATCGAATCTAAATGTAGAGAACAAAAAGACAATAATTAAATATTGTGATAAAATAATGTCTTTATTTCTTCAGACGATACCCCAGTTAATACTAGTAATAATAAACAAAACATAGAAAAACAAAACCGTTTTAAAATAAAAAAAAAATTTAATGGATATCACACTATCTAAAAATGATAGCCAACTAATAAGAGATTCGTTAATGGAAGATTTAAGTGGTGAAGTATTAAATATCCACTCTTCAAATGACCATAGTTACTTTTTAAAAAAATAACAATGTAATGCCAATGAATTTTAATTTACCTTTTTATTTTAACTATTATTGAACTTAATTTTTACGACGATTATTTGAATTTAACAAATATTTTAACATTGTTTACAAGTATATTTTAATATTATTTTGTGATAAGCATTATATTTTGTGATAACAGTGTATGGGCCTCCATAATCAAAAGCTAAGCGGCTAGAAAATAACGGTATTTTACTATTTTTACTTTATCTTATACAAATTAATAATTATATATTTCATCCAAAATTAAAATATGTTACATGTACCTACATAAGTGTCGTGCACCTACTTACTACATACGCCAAATACAGTTATGGTACTTTCGAAGGATACCTCCTTCTCATCTCAAATACGATGGATAAATTTGAAAGTTTATATACACCGTAGAACATTATACTCTATGTACACACTAAAGTATGCTTAGGCTAACAAGGTAGGTACTACTACCACTAAAACCATAGACCTATAAACAAATGGACAGCGTTTAGAGAGAGAAATCAGGTGTATGATATAGAGTGAGCGAGGAAAGAAGCAAAGCAGTAAAATGTGTATACAGTACCTTATGTGGGCTCCTTCACTACTTTATGTTCTTTCTCTCTCAGTTATATGGTTGTATGGTCGCCTAGCAGTGATAGCAGTTTTTAACTCTTTTACAAAATTCATTGTATAATAATCATTATAATACTATCTATATACTAAAATAGCCCAACAAGTTAGATAAGAAGATTAAAAAAAAAAAAATCAAATACCGGCGGAGAATTTTATGTCCATTAAGTATTCAACGAGCGTTGAACATAAAACGTGCTGGGTGGCACGTATTCGCTCTTAATACAATTTAGTTACCCGTATATACTTACTCTAAAGTAAACGATAACGGCGGCAATCAACACGCCAAGGCTCTGAATAATGTCTCCGAGGACGTGTATGTAGGCGGCCCTAACATTGATGTTGGAAGTGCTCCGGCCGGTCGCCTCGTCGTGGCTGTGCGACTCTATACTGCCGCCACCGTGAGAGTGCGAGTGCTGGTGAAGCGTCAAGCCCATTCTGTAACAGTATAGCTGTTATAATATTGATATTATCATAAATTATCAATATTATCATATTCATACATAATATTATGGCCTGGTCGAACGAACGATCGATAAAAAATGTAATGAATCGATAGTGAACTTAATGATGGTCCCCTGAGCATTATTTAGTGGTCACTAAATGGCCCCTGACCGGTCCGTTATATTTGGACAGTAACTATCATAGTTTTTAATACACGTCTTATATCATAAGTCATAACATTATCTGCAGGAAAAGGATATTAATAAACGCGTGCGCGTACGAGGCCGAATCTATAATTTTTTTCAAGGTAGGTGTGGATAGTCTAGTCAAAGATATTTTTGACTATTTATTACGTCATTATGTAGATCCTCACAAAAAAAAAAATCAAGGGGCCGAATTCTGTGGCCCCAGATAACATCTTCCGCTGCACACTATATTTAATTATTTTTATTCGATTGATCGCACACGCGTGGAGAGTGCCAGCTACGGCATGAGAGATCGACCGCTACGGGGCTAAAATGTATTATCGTATTGATTCCTTCTCCGGTGATTCCAAGCCCACGTGGCTACCGCAGCTACGATCGTTCATATTTCAATGATTACTTAGATCGCGATACGTGCAAGTCACGCGATGACGATAATAATTATAACATCGCATCGCGTATATCGCGTAATGCACGTACGTATAATAATATCATAATATTATACTCACACCAAGTTGACGCACAGTCCGACGGCGGACGTGATGAGCATAATGTCGGCGTCGATGGTGTACGTCATGTCTCTGAGGCGCTCGACGGCCAAGTACAACAGAATGCCGGTGACCACCCAGATGAGGAGAACAGACGTGAGGGCGCCCAAAACTTCGGCCCTGTACCATCCGAACGGCATCGACTGCGTGGCCGGCCTCGAGGCCACCCATATGGCGCACAGCGATATCATGAAGCTGGCGAAGTCCGTGAGGAGATGTGACGCGTCCGTCGCGATAGCCAAACTGCTCGACAAATACCCTCCTGTATAGAAATATTAATATGATTAATATTGTACGATATGAATTAGTAAATTTATTCTGCGCAAATAGTATATTATATGCACTGCCTATATACACCGAGCGTTGTATTTTAAGTATGAATAATTCCCGCCAAAACTTACCGACTCCCTCTCCGATCATGAACAGGAGACATAGTATGCTGGCAAATATGAGTTTTCGCCTGGCCTTCTGACTGCTCGACGTACTCTCTCGGTTCGGATGACAATGTTCATTGACTGCGAATTATAAAAATCGAATCGTTGTTAGCGAGGTGAATGGGCTTAATAATATAATATAATATCGACTCACACTAATAATATTATACTCAAATAATGGTTTTCATTTCAAAATATCTCGAGAAACATTACATGGAAATAACATTCCCGAGATCGTTTAATTTATGTGTACACAGCTAAGTTTCATATAATATTTACTAGCAGATTAGGCATAATCTGTGGATATACAACAGTCTATACTTTGTGAGTGTAGTAAATAGTGATAATATAGCTTCGTGGGCGATAACACTTCATAGTGCCTACCTTAACCTGGTACTCGACCATGCAAATACATTTTTTAAATTTTTGGGGATACTTTTTATTTAATATCCATAGTTGGGATAAATTTAATAACCATAACATATAATATTTCTTTATAATATACAGAGTGATTCACCAAACATGATCACACCCTTTTTCTTCAATAATGCAGTTTTTAAAAATTTAATCTGATTTATAACATTTTAATAACTGAGAAACTACTCGTTTTGAAAAAAATTATTCACTAAATAATTTATAGTAAACAAGAAAAAATTTGAAAAAAAGAAAAATTGGTTTTCCAAGGGACACACTTTATAAAGTGCAAAGAATTTTAAAATACCCTTAAGTGTATATAAAAATTCTGATTATTTGAATATAATTCATTACAAGACGAATGTGGGGGATCATTCTTGGTAAATCATCTTGTATTATATACATGATTATGAATGTATTATAAATTATAATACATCAAATATTTCGTATTATAAGAAAATAAATATCTATTACAACAAAACAAATTAAAATTGATACATGATTATAATATACTTAAATAATATTGCTTATAGCTATAATATTTCAAATAGTTTTCCAGCCTCACGCCTTTAATGATAATTTACTTTTTCACAGGTCTTCAATTTTAGATTCTGAGTTTGACGAATGTATTGGTTTTATAATAATGTGTAATTTTTTAGATTCTGAGTGAAACGATGAATGTATTGATTTTACAATGATGTGTGTTTTTAGATTCTGAGTGAAACGATGAATGTATTGATTTTACAATGATGTGTGTTTTTTTATTTTTTTTTTTATTTTTTTTTTTATTTTTTTTTTATTTTTTTTTTATTTTTTTTTTTATTTTTGTGTCTGTCATCACGTTTTAGGACAGTAAAAGTGCTTGGATTTTCTTCATCAGTAGCTTTTCTGATAGGAAAGTGAATCTAGTTGGTACTTTGGGGGGTCAAAAGTATAAATTTCCCAGTAGTTTTCACAAGCGCCGGGAAAAACAACACAAAAATTAAGGAAAAACGGGAATTTTTACGCAAAATTGGTTTTCCAAAAAATCGATTTTGGTTATTGGTGTAACTCTAAAACAAATGAACGTATATACATGAAATTTTCACTGGTTGTTTATATTTGCATTTTCTAAACACGATAACATTTTCAAAATATTTTGATTTATTTTGAACTGTTTAGGGACATTTTCATTTTTCATTTTTTTTTAGTTTTTTTTCTAGAAATATCAATAAAATTTTATTTGTTGGTTGCGAAAGCTTGAAAATTTAATAGAAGGCTCCTAATATGTTGTTTCAAAGGCAGATGAAAAATATTAAAAATCCTTAGTCACAATTTTTTTTTATAAGCATTTAAAGTTCAAAAATTGACAAAATATGGAAAAATCACGAAAATTAGCAAATTATTTTGAGTTAAGAATTCGTAAAAATTTTTCTTTTTAAATCTAAGATTTGAAAATGAAACACAAGATTCCTTATAAGATTATCTACCTTTATCAATAAAAAAATCTCTACCGGACAGTCAAGTTAAATTTTTATGAGCGTTTGAAATTCAAATTTTTACAACATTGGATATTCACTCGATTACTCATGTAGCGATTTCTTTATTTTGTTGCAATTCAAAAACGAACAACTGTAGATACATGAAAATTTCACTGAATGTTTAAATTAGCATTTTCTATACACCATACAATTTTGAAAATATTTTGACTCTTTTTGAGCTGTTTATGGACATTTACAGCTTTCAATTTTTTTAGTTTTTTTTCTATAAATATCAATAAAGTTTTATCTGTTGGGCCAAAAAGTGTAAAAATTTAATACAAGGCTCCTGATATACTGTTACAATAGCAGTTGAAAAATATTAAAAATACATAGGCACAGTTTTTTTTTATAAGCATTTAAAGATCAAATTTTGACAAAATTTATCAAAATCTCGAAAATTATCAATCATTGAAATTAATAAATTATAAAATGTTCAGTTTTTATAGCTAAGGATTGCAAATTTAAAACAAAGGTTCTCATAAATAGTTCATACTGTAACCAAAAAATCTAAAAAATATATGAACACAGTTATTTTTTACAGACATTTTAAATTCAAATTTGGACGAAATTACATATTAAAAAACCTAGAATAACTATTTTAGTTATTTTGTTGTGATTGAATAATATTATTCGTGGGTACTTGAAACTTCTAAAGTGTACTATTATATATCTATGATAGTATCACGGTTTTGTTGATGTATAACGCGTTATAAGTACCTAATGGACATTGTGATATGATTAATTTGGAATTTATTATAGGTACCTATTATAGGTCAATTTTTGTTTAATACCATAGATATGTATATAATATGTCTTAAACATAGACTGACATACCGTCTCCGCTCAGAATCGTTTTTCTTATACAATGATATTATATCGTTGAATTCAAATTTAATATCATCCATTATACAGTGACCCACTTGTAACCTACTGTACAGCAGAGCGACACCCACTTGCCCACCTTTTTTTATTTGTGTTCGTTCATCACCTTTTAAGACAGTAAAAATGCCTGGATTTCCTTTAACAGCATCTTTTCTGATAGTAAAATTAATGTAGTTGGTACTTTGGGGGAAAAAGTAAAAAGTTCCCAGAAGTTTTCGAAAACGCCAAGAAACACAGAAAAAAAACTAAGGAAGAACGAACATTTTTACATAAAATCGGTTTTTCAAAAAATCAATTTTAGATTTTGGTGAAACTCTAAAAAAAAACCGTAGATAAATGAAATGTTCACTAAATGTTTTCATTATCATTTTCTATACATCATACAGTTCTAAAAATATTTTGACATGCTTTGAGCTGTTTACACTTTATATCGAGAATTTTCCAATATTTTAATTTTTTTTTCTATAAATGTCAATTACATTTCATTCATTGAGTTAAAAAGGTTGAAAATTGAATACAAGACTCATAATATATTCTTATAAAGGCAGTTGTTTTTTGTGCTACACACGATACTCACACGACACACACACACACACACACACACACACACACACACAATACCATAATTGTTACATAGGTTTTAGTTTGGTTTAGTTATAATCATAATAATATAATATATACATTTTTTAGTTCTTATAATATATTATTATGTAGGCTATTTTTATTCATTATAAAAATGGTAAAATAGTGTTTCAATGAAAAATCTTATCAAAAAAAAAAAAAAATTAAAAAAAAATAGATATTATATTACACTGTATTATCATTAATTTTGTTACATTCGTTTAATCTAATCTTTTTGTGTAACTGTATATTATATTAAACATTATACAGTAAAATATTTTTAATAAAACGTTCAATAGTTTAAAGTGTTATTCAGAATACAACTCGATGTTTTATTGGTATTTTTGTTCACGGAAAATGCACCTAAATTTGTTCACATTAAAATACACCACTTATTACCGGTGTAGGTAGGTACTAATGTACTATAATATGCCTAAATTGTAGTATATAATATATAGGTGATAGAACAATAAACGTTAAAACGTCAACACTTAACGTGTTAACGTTTTAACGCACTTTCTACGTAGAAACAGTTTTTTTTTATGTATTCATCATTCATAGCATTTTATTATATTATGATCAATTAAAAACAGTTTATTTCTATGAAACCAAAATTATAGTAATTATTATAATACTTAAGTGAAGAAATTTAATAGAATCGCGTCTCCGCGTATAGTTTATCGATTTCTTATTTTTAATAAGACTGCAGTAGACGCACTATTATACCGTCTGTCTGCATGACGTATATCATAATAAAATATGTATGTATGAAATATTATGTTAAGTAGACCGTAGACGGGCACTTACAGATTGTGATGGGCGGTTTTGCGTCTAACGGGTCGGGGGTTTCGTGGTTGGAATTGCTGTCGTCGGTCGACACCTGTAGAGTGGCGCAACAGCCGGACGGTTTGCCATGTATGCAGTACACTAATTTACCAGAACCGTTTGACGGTTGCCGCACAAAAGCTCCGGTCATCGTCGGTGTCGTGCTCATGAACACGACGTCTTCATTAACGGACCCGTACTTGGAACTTTCGCCTAACCTGCAAAAAAAAAAAAAACGATAATTATTATTCTGCCGCTGTTGAACGACACACATCGTAATACCTATATCATCGTTAATAGAACGATAGATATAAGTATAGGTAGGTAATTTTATAAAATGAAAAACCTTAAATGTACATCAAACGGTGTTATAATAAATTATGATATACAAACAAAAAAAAACTCGTGTGCATAAAACGGGTATGAAACACAAACGGAAAATAATACTAAATATTAAAGCACTAGCAGTCGTTCCTTACAGTGGAATGAATTCGTTTTCCATGGTGCATTAGGATCGACAATTCACTGTGTAAAACTGCAGCGAAACCGCTATATATTATAATAATTATGTTATTATACTATATTATATTATATTATTACGGCCAAGACCGAAGAACATTGATATACAACGATAGAACGAAACACTATGCGCACAATCGCACTGCTAATATAGCGTAGCAGTCATATCTACGTCATGCAACAATCGAAATTTAAAATATAATATTCGTTTCGAGACAAGAAAATACGTTCAACAAGTCCCATTTTTCAGTAACGACTATAATATTTACCGATGGAATTGGTCCGATAAGCACTCTAATATTGAACATATAATAAAGTGGAAAAAAATATATTGAAATTGTTTTCCATGTTGTTATCTATACTAATTATGATGACACAACCCTGGAGGGGGTTTCGCTTCCACCCAACAACTATACGTTGCCATTGCGCTCGAGATTTGAGATTAAAACGCACCTGTAGTATTATGGTATTATTACTATATTTGTTCTGTATTATTTGAGATTATTTTCATTCAGATCCGTATAAGTAGAACAGCAAATAAATCTTTACAGTGGCACTCAGACATGCTTTTCTTGATGTAATATTTTAAATAAACGAGGCAAGGCATCACGTTTTTTTATAATAATCCATACATGAAAACGGCGACACGAATAACCTTTGACTTTCATTATCAACACCGTTTGGCCCATTCAAATGTTTATCATGAAATGTAATGTACATATTTAGTTTCTGTTTTTCATATAAATTATAAATTAAACAAATTCAAATAATATTGATGTAGGTACTATATAACTAACAAATATATTATGTATGATACCTACAGACAGATTAAATAATGTCTAGTAGAATAATTAATATGATGAATTGTAACTGCACCATTATCATATATTGTTTAAACACGAAAGAGTTAAAGGGTTACGACTATCGGACTATGTAGGTACCTAATGTTTGTTTATTTAAATGTTTGAATTATAAATAACAAACAAAAGCTAGGTGTGTGTGTGTGTCATTGGGTGACAATAATATTGTGTTCATGAATAAATTATAATTTAATAATTATTCGTAAGAAAGAAACTATTAAAAAATAAAAAGTCGACTAATGTTTTGCAATTTGTGTTTGACTTTGACAATGTCATAAATGTTATTATTATATACAACGAACCAAAAACTCTATAATTTTTTAACCTAAAAAAAATTATGAAATACGAATATTGAAGCACTTGTTGAGTTATAAAGTACATTTAGCTTTTAGTATTTTAATGAACTTATTGTAACTTTAACTAAACCGATTATAAAAAACCAAAATAATTCAGCCATACTCAAGATTTATGATATTTGTCTATACATTATATATCTTAATAATACTTGTACATTAAGTTGTACATCCTAAGCGGCTTAAGCCATCCTACCAAGACGGAGGAAGCTTTAGGTGAAATCACCACCGATGCTATTTATTAGTTGTACAACGCCTCTAGACATATAAACCTATATTGTAAATAAACATTTAAAATTTAAATAATATGTATATATATTATATACATTTGAAATCTTATTCACTATTACCTATGTTAAGTAAAACAATATATTAAATTTAAACCAATGTTTATACTTTGAAGGCTAATTACCCTAATTTGTCAAGCCTATATTCCAAATAAAAAAAATAATACTTGTGTAAGGTATTTGTAAGGTATTTGTAAGGTATTTGATACAGTGTTTTCTAAATTGTATAAATATAGTGTTTAATAATTGAACTTTAAACTCCATCACAATGTATAAGTACCTACCTATGCATTTTTGTAAGAAAAAAATAAAAACTTATAATTATTACTTAGGTATAACTAAGCATATAATTATTTCATAATTTTATTGGAATCACCTAGTATAATATAGCAACAAATTACAAATATTTAAATTATGGACTATGGTATAAACTATTAAGTAGGTAAGTAATATTATAGATTAACAATATAATAAATCATATATATAGTATGCACATACTTCTATTATAAAAAAATCATATCAGGTGTACAATACAGCAATTAGATGAATAAAAGTAGTTGATTGGTATTATAGGTGTATCAAATCGATATTTAAAGCCATACAAAAAAATAATTTAGAGAAAAGTAAACGTTTTCATTTAAATTAACAATAAAGATCAGCCATCCATTTTTATGAAAATGTATACAAAGTAATGGGTAGGTGGTATCTAATAATAATTATAAGGACCATAAATTCAAAATTAAAAAAAGCCATAATATACATAACGCGTATCAGTGGGCCAGTTAATAAAAGTAGAAAAGCTCTCTGTTAAACTAAGGCTTCAAACTAAGCTGTTGAATAATTAGTTCGTATAATCAAACAAACCGAAATCGATTAGTTCAATGATTAGATCGTGACACAGTGTATTCAGAATTTATTGTATTCGACATTGGATTTAATAGTCCATGATCAAACATTTCGACAGACATTTTTAAATTAACATCAGGCACTAACCTTGACCGGAAACGTCAACGTTACGCTAATAATTTTCATTCGAATAAAGATTTTCAGAGGATTTTTGACCACCTATAAAATATAAAAAATTACACTAAAGGTAATTTTAGTTTAATATGAAACTGCAGGCTCAAGAGACAATAAGATGAATTATTGTTGCTGTTGTAGTGTTATACTTGTATAATTATATTATAATATGTAATTACCTATGAAACTATGTGCAAATTGAACATTTTATGAACGCTTTGTATTGAAAGTATCGAAAATGAAAAATATATGCAGGTTTAAATGCCGTATGTATGGTGTGTAGATACATAGAGTGTTCCAGAAATTATTACTAAACACTAACAAAATATTCAGTTTACTAGTTACCAATATAATTACAGTGAAACTTCAGTATAACGAACTTCTATTTAACAAAATGTTCCGTTTAACAAAATATTTTTTGGATTCAAACCAAATTTATTCAATTGTATTTCATTAAAATTCTCTATAATACGAATTTTTTTTAATGCCCCATGAGACTTCGTAATGTGGAAACTGGAAAGTTCACTGTATTTCACCAGGCATGCTTACTCCCTTTTTTTCTTCAATAATGAAGTTATTCAAAATCTGATTTTCGGAATTTTTAAATATATTTTATGTCTTAAGACCAAGTTTTCAATTTTTTGAGATTTTTTGTACTACTTAAGGAGTGGAGATACAAACTTTTGTTTTTCAAATAAGAAAACCCCTTTTCAACAGTAAATTATACAGTGGATAATTTGTCTGACATTTTTAGATTCTGAGTGAAACGATGAATGTATTGATTTTACAATGATGTGTGTTTTTTTTTTTATTTTTTTTTTTATTTTTTTTTTATTTTTGTGTCTGTCATCACGTTTTAGGACAGTAAAAGTGCTTGGATTTTCTTCATCAGTAGCTTTTCTGATAGGAAAGTGAATCTAGTTGGTACTTTGGGGGGTCAAAAGTATAAATTTCCCAGTAGTTTTCACAAGCGCCGGGAAAAAACAACATAAAAATTAAGGAAAAACGAGAATTTTTACGCAAAATTGGTTTTCCAAAAAATCGATTTTGGTTATTGGTGTAACTCTAAAACAAATGAACGTATATACATGAAATTTTCACTGGTTGTTTATATTTGCATTTTCTATACACGATAACATTTTCAAAATATTTTGATTTATTTTGAACTGTTTAGGGACATTTTCATGTAGATAAGATTATCTACCTTTATAAATAAAAAAATCTCTACCGGACAGTCAAATTAAATTTTTATGAGCGTTTGAAATTCAAATTTTTACAACATTGGATTTTCACTCGATTTCTCATGTAGCGATTTCCTTATTTTGTTGTAATTCAAAAACGAATAACTGTAGATACATGAAAATTTCACTGAATGTTTATATTAGCATTTCCTACACACCATACAATTTTGAAAATATTTTGACTCTTTTTGAGCTGTTTATGGACATTTACAGCTTTCAATTTTTTTTAGTTTTTTTTTCTATAAATATCAATAAAGTTTTATCTGTTGGGCCAAAAAGTATAAAAATTTAATACAAGGCTCCTGATATATTGTTACAATATCAGTTGAAAAATATTAAAAATACATAGGCACGATTTTTTTTTATAAGCATTTAAAGTTGGAATTTTGACAAAATTTATCAAAATCTCGAAAATTATCAATCGTTGGAATTAAAAAATTATAAAATGTTCAGTTTTTATCACTAAGAGTTGAAAATTTAAAACAAAGATTCTCTTAAATAATTCATACTGTAACCAAAAAATCTAAAAAATATATAAACACAGTTATTTTTTACAGACATTTTAATTTCAAATTTAGACAAAATTTCATATTTAAACCAAGAATTACGATTTTAGTTATTTTGTTGTGATTGTATAATATTAATCGTGGGTACTTGAAATTTCTAAAGTAATCTACTATATATATCTATGATAGTATTAGGGTTTGTTGTTGGTGTATAACGCGTTATAAGTACCTAATGGATATTGTGATATGATTAATTTGGAATTCATTATAGGTCAATTTTTTTTAATACCATAGATATGTATATAATATTATGTCTTATACCTAAAAGGACATACCGTCTCCGCTCAGAATCGTTTTTCTTATACAATGATATTATATCATTGAATTCAAATTTAATACCATCCATTATACAATGACCCACTTGTAACCTACTGTACAGCAGAGCGACACCCACTTGCCCACCTTTTTACTTATCAGAATCAAAATTCGTACGGGTAGTTTTTGAGTTTTTCAACTTTGTGCTCTATAAGGATAAAAGATCCATGGTAATGGGTTTATAAGATAAGTGAAAGTGAGCTATAGTGATTTGGAAATTGTATTCATTAATATTAATCTATCAATATTGATAATTTGTAAAAATGGACCAAGTATAATAAAATATAAATAGATCCAGTTTTACGTCTATTTTATATTTATGTAAAACTATTTTTGAGGAC